TCTCTCTCTCTCTCTCTCTCTCTCTCTCTCTCTCTCTCTCTCTCTTTCTCTCTCTCTCTCATTGCATTCATAATTTATCTTATTATCTTTAATCCAGTCGCTATTCGTGTCTTCGTTTTAAACTAGCGAATTACTTTCGTAGCTTGGAAGCTACGACGAGAAATAGACAAAGCGAACTCATGCGGTGTGCCAAGTTGCCCGTACTTTCCTTTATCGGTTCCCTTCCTCTTCTCCTCTTCAATCGCGGAGTCTTTGATCAATTTAAAGTTTTTCCTTAACAAGAATGTCGAGAGACACCGGTAGTTTTTGAGTTATAAACAGCTGAAAATTCATGGAATCTCACGAATTAAAAACTCCGGGAAGATACATCGCGCGGATAACGAAACTTTGATCTTTATTTAATATCGAAGAAACTTCAGGTAATCCGTAGTGAAAGGTCAGTGGGAAAGATATTAAAACTGCATATCAAAAGACGCGCTGCACAAAGGCACGGCGATGAGACGTATCTTGCGCGAGAGGAACGTGAAAGTTAATCGGAAAACGCGATTGACGAAGGAAAACGCGGTGAGTGAAGATGTGTGAGAGAGAAAAAAAGAGCAAGCCGAATATGCCTCGCACCTATAGAGCGATTTTCATTTATCGCGCATGAAGAGGCGACGACAACGATTTATCTTCAGGGCATATCCATACATAATAATTTCAGCCGTATCAATGCTGCATGGTAACTCTAATCCGTTGCTCGGAAACTATATCGTTTATAATACAGTTGGCCGATGGGCTTTCGGCGGTGCTCCCAATCAATACAACCGTAATATACTACCCTGTAGGGTTTGCATATTGTTTCCGCCGGAGTCAACTTGCGGTTGGCTGCCGCGCGCTCTTTCATTTTTAATTAAAATTCATGCAGCTCCGGCTTTCACGCTAATGATTCGCGCGGATCTTGCCGTTCGTGCTCCGCGTTTCTTCTACTTCCTTTACACTGAGGAAACAAACAATATCTAAGAAATAAAGAATATTGATTCAATGAGTATTAATAACATATTTGCTTTCATAACAAATAATATCTAAGGAAACTAACAATATTTAAGAAATAAAGAATATTGATTCAGTATTAATAATATATTTTCTTTCATATTAATATAAAATATGTTTCACAAACAAAAGAATATACAATCAAATGAGTAAAAACAGTAAACAAGAACTAGACGTGGTTATTGGTGCGAATATTTAAACTTTTATGAGAGGATAATGATTCCTGAGCAATATATGTTAGTTTTCATTGTTCGGTCATTCCTGAAAATGACGATTCCATGCGGTATGGTATTTCCGATTTTCAATTTCCGCGCGGAAATTGAAAATCGGTTAAACGAAAATATACATTTTCTTAAAACCTCAGGTTTTTATGAAAACAATTATTTATTCTCAAAATAAATAAATATGCCTTTTATTCTTTAAATATATAAATTAATTTATGAGTCTTTAAATAAATTTATCTTAAATAAAAAAACTTAGAGATTTAAGTAAATGTGTTATCAGAACTCACGAGAAAAATATTTTTTGGATGTTTTCGTTCAGTGCATGTTGTTGCGTTAACGTTGCGAAAAGAGGAAACGTTTAGTTTTCGCGAACGTATATAAATCCGCCTCAATGATTCGAGTAATTAACTGCTCCAAACTGACCGTGTAACTCCCCCAGCGTGATATTTAGTATGTATAAGCGATGTAATATTTAATAGTGCAACTAAATTATATATCATTTTCATTTCGCGCGGGTCGGAGTGCGAAAGCACAATTGTTTGCAGTGCCAAGCGTGAAGATGAAGAAATGTATTACGATTAGATGAAGAAATGCATTTTTACGACAATCAGCGCGGGCAACACGGTAGCTCGGATGACGCAAAAGATAATGGATCGACATTGAAAATGATTTTCGACAAATGGCACTACCGCGCGTTACCGAAACCCAATCGCGAGTGTTCCCGATACGACACATTAACGACTGAATCGCATTAAATTCTGATAAATTGGGCAATTTTCATTGTCCGGTCGTACTTGAAAAATAGCGATTTCCGCGCGACGTGGCGTTTCCGCGCGGAAATTGAAAATCGGTTAAACGAAATAATGAGCCGCAACGAGCTCCGGCCGGCCGTGCGTGCGGCTCTCGCGAAGAGAGCTCTATAAATAGAATCGACGCGTTGTGTGCAATTTAATTAGCAATTAATTCAGCCGAGGAAATAACGTAGCTGCAACAAGTGACGCTCGTGAGCAATTAAACTGATGTTCCCTTTGCGTCGAAGAAATAAATTCGATTATTTGACTCGTCTCCGAAAGAGAGCGACTGAGATAGCGAAAGGGACACGTTGTTTGCGCCAGTTTTGAGAATCATTGCTCCCGAGACCGATGCTTTCGATGATCATACATCGCCATCATACTTTACACTTTATACTTGACTCTTCATTTAAACATGTCCTTATTTACCCACGATATATCCTTATAACAATTCAATCTCTTCAGAGATTCGCATATGCATGTATGTTAGATACATTCGATTTCTCGTTTTCAATCCAAACATGCTCGAGAAAAATATAACGAACATTACTGTGAATAAATATTTCACGAAATTCCATAAGAGAGAAAGAAATCTCGTCGCATGATTTTGATATCACTTAAAAATTAAACCATACTTTTTAGGCTTTAACGTACTCATGTATAAAGAGTTTAAAAGAAATAGAGCTGGTCAGCTGAGAAAGTTCAGAACGTCACATTAATTTATGGCGAATTATATCAGTTTTTTTTTGTTAATAGAGAAAAGTGTTATTTAAAAGTTAAATTAATACTTTTCGAACTTTAACAAATTCATGCCTGAAGAGTTTAAAAGAAATAGAGTTATTTCGTTTCTTTAAAGATTGATGTCTGAAGCCCAAAGTGTCAAAAATTTACGCGGAATTACATCGACCCTGTTGTGCCTTAAAATAACAAATTGATGTCTGTGAGACGTGCAGAGGTCTCATCTTTCCAATGGTTTTTGTTTCAGGTCGCCACGTCTACTATGAGCGAAATGATCGACGATTGTATCGAGCGGTGCGCGCTCGATCGCTTCGAACTGACGGATGACGCACCTTGTCCGCAACACGGCGGTGGTGAAACCCTAAGAAGTCCCGTTAGGCGTAGGTCAGTTAAGCGACGTCGCATTCTCAGACGCTTTTCTGGAAACTCAGCTGTGATACACTCACCCCTTCCATCGCCGCGGCCTTGCCCCCACCACCTGCCGCGTAAACAGCTGTCGCGAGGACGGCCGCACTCAGTCGTCTGCTCGCTACCGCGTCGAGCCGCACGCAACGCTCTGCAGAAGGCGCCACTTAGCAATGAGTGTCCGACGAGCATCCGAAGGACAACGAGAGGCCATGGAGGACGCGAGGAAAAGGGTGAGTTTGATCATTGTTGTCTGCGATTTTGATAGTATTATATTTATACTCGTCGAGTCAGAGGAATGACTGTGGCCGGAAGATTGCCTGGATATAAATCGGGAGACTTGTTGCGCGACGCATTATCTCGTTCACGACGAAAGGAGGTTGTGTCGCACGTAAAATGCACGGTGCATTTGAATGTGGGCGCACTTTCCAGGCAGCACACACGTTTTAGAAACGTTTTATAAACGTTAGAACTAAACGTTTCATAACGTTTCTCATGAATAAAAATGTCCACTCAAAAAACGTTAGGTAAAACGTTATTTTTGCGAAAAAAATCGTTGAAGAAGCGTTTTATAAACGTTAGAACTAAACGTTTCATAACGTTTCTCATGAATAAAAATGTCCACTCAAAAAACGTTAGGTAAAACGTTATTTTTGCGAAAAAAATCGTTGAAGAAGCGTTTTATAAACGTTTTAAAACATTTTATAAATGTTTTAAAACGTTTTATAAACGTTTTAAAAGTTTTATAAACGTTTTATAAATAAAGTTTCAGAAAGATTCTTGTTAAAACGTTTATTGGTGCTTTAGGGTTCTGAAACTATAGATACGTTTAAGAAACGTTTCTGATACGTGTATGTGTTACCTGGGTTTCAATTCGCAAGCAAGATTCAAGAAGCGCTGAGAGAATTATAAGTAAAGGGAAACGATAAATTCGCGATCTTCCGGTGACGTGACGGCCGAATGTTATGTCGTTTTGCTGTATCTCGCGTTGACATCCGCAGTTAGTTTAAGATTATATACATACATATGCATGTGTGTATGTGGATATGCATGTACGTATGTATGCGCGTAATGTACTTGTGCACGTTGGCGGATACGAATCACAGGGAGGTACTCGGCGAGATATCTCAATGCGCTATGATGATACGTGACCCGACTTACATTAGTCTTATCGCGACGACGTTGTACCGCCTGCAAGACTCGAGTTGGTACATCAGAATCGCGCTCTGGATAACCGCGGATCCAAACTTGACGGACCCTTTCCCTCTCTCCTGCCTCCGAACGCGCGCGCGAAGTTGCAAATCAGCTTATAGTAACACCACAAAGAAGAAAACGCCGCGGCAAATTCGTAATCTTGATAGTTTGCGGGGAAATTGGGACGGCGGGATTGACTATCGCCACTCCTGGTACGTGATTGAAGATCGGCAACGCTGATCTATAAATTTCGACACGTCGCGTCATTAAATCGCATTGTTCCACCTCAGCTCGAAAGCGATAGGGAGGGAACACGAGTATGTGTGCGTGTAGCATTCATCTCGAGCAACTCGGCTCGCATCGCGCAATAGAGCCACGTGTGTGTTAAAGTTGGTAGACATTAATTTCACGAGTCTGTGTAACATCCAATACTGATCAATTTATAAATTTGCTCCTTTAAGTCACACATTGACGGAGAAATAAAATATGTTTTTCTTCGCATCCGCGCGTTGAATTGAGTGTCTGAGAGAAGAAGGAATATAAATCAATGAGAAAAGGAGAGATTTAAGCACGATCTTATACTGAGAGAGCAAATATCTAAAAAATACAAAATATTTATATACGCTGAGTACTGATAACGTATTTACCCAAATCTACATTCTTTTATTTAAACAAACTGAAAAGCTAATATTTTAAGAAAATGTATGTTTTCTTATTTGAAAAATATTTTATATTGGTACAAATAAATATATCATTAGATACACTCTGGATAAATATCTTTTATTTCTTAGATATTTTTCTCTCAGTGTGAATGATTGGCTGTGAAATTCGTTTGAAAGCGTATGCAATGATTAATGTTGCTAATTATCCTCGTTCGCATTGAGCGTCCCCTTATTAAACGTTCGGTCCTCTTGAATCGGTGTTCTTTTATTTAATCGCAAACACGAGTGTGTGTCGAGCGTTGCCGCGAGCGAGCATCGCAGAACGAACAGCGGATGCAATACTATGTATTCGAATATTTACTTTTCCAACTACGCAAGTCGCAGCATAGCGCCGCGATTATTCCCGCTGTAAAATATCGCGTTACAAAGGTGTAATAATATTTATTATTGAAACACGAATATTTTACGCGTTGTATGTAATACCGGCTAACGACGTGGATTATTTTGTAGAAATTCTCTCTTGTGTTCTACAACTATTTTTCCGGACGCTGTCTCTCGATCGCACGTGACAGAAAATAATAAATAATTTATTGTGTAAATTATTTATTATTTTAAGACGCGCAGGAACTTGTGAATATTCATTTTTCGTAGAAGAACTCTTCGTGCCTCTTTTTGCCCCGTAAATATCCGCACTCATTATGCGAGATAGAGAGTAGAGCAAATATTTATTTATTTAGAAAAAGAGAGAAGAGGGAATAATTCAGCGACAATTTTAGATTCTTTTTAAGTCGTTCGTGCTGTTATTTCATACGTAAACGTGTCCGTATTTTCGATTTTGAGGAATTATAGATTGTTCGAGGAGCGGTCGATCCCGATCGGCCCAAGTCAACAAACCACTCAAATCGATAACAATAACGGAATCACGCGTGTAATCAAGCCGTGACCCTAATTGTTTATGCCAAATCACGTGTTAACCGACCGCGTGTATTATGCTGTACGTGCCGTCGCCACAGCAACCGCAGCCTAACACAAAACAAAAAAAAGGTAGGAAAGCGTTTGGAAGCGTTAGAAACGGGAATCAAGTGTTTTCATCAAGCAGGCTTGACAGCCGTGGCCAATCCGCGTTTGCCAAGCGCCACGAATCATTCTCTTAAAAGGGAACAAGTTTAAATCGAACACAATTTCTAACAGAGTATCTTTATCGAAACCATATTCGCTCACGGATCTATTCAAGTCGCGATTAGCTCTCTTTCTTTGGTTTTGGTTTTGTTTTAAGTTCACTGCAACTCAACCGGTTCGCGATATTCTCTCAAGTCGTTCTCTCGTGTTCATGTTTCTTTCGGTTCTATCGCTTTCTACGCTTCATCTCGCGCTCACACATTGCACCGTGTGCTTACTTATTCGTTTTCGGAGCTTACTGTTCACTGTTAACCTTGCTTACCGAATTCGTTTTATATATTGTTTACTGTTAAGTGCGTCCTGCGTTTGTTTGTAAAAGCTTCCCGAGCGTTTTATCAAAACTAAGAGATACACGTTTGCGATCGCACTAGAGCCTCGTGCGAGAATCTCCGACGCTTTCGCAAAAACTAAGTCCGTCCAGTCGAGCTTAACAACCCACGCTCCGCAAATCTCCGTCGCGAATCGCTCGATTAAATTCAAACGGGTGTTTCGATGACTTTCGTTAAACAACGAGATTAATCTCTCTATCGATCTAAAAATATCTATCGTCGTTCTGTTCGGAAGCTCATTCTGCAAATAAAGACTTAAACAAAAGGGTTCGATAACAGTTAAATTCAGTGCCTCGCCCATCCTCACGCGACCTTATCGCTCGAGCTATCCGGGAAGTTCGCTCGCTGTCAATATTCACGGCATATCAGTGCGCGAACATAGATTCTGACAAGAATAAAAATTAAGTAAAATATAGGGAGTTGTATAAAAAGTTGTAAATTAATAGGAGTATGAATTTTTTGTTATGCATGTCTATATCGATAATATTTTGCTATAAAAAATTAGATTTTATTGTGAATATTATCATCACTGTATCTACTCCAATTCTTTTACAGGACAGAATTGAAATAGACACAGATGAACATGATCTATTCATACATAACCTAATTTTCAACCTAATTTTTTATATCAAGATATTGTTAATAGACGTGCATAATAAAAATTGGTTCCCTTATTACAAATTTGTCACAATTCCCCAAATTTAACCTAATTTTTACTGCTGTCAGGTAAAATTCTGTGTAATTCTTTAATTCACGACACTTAAATTCGCGGCGAAGCGTACGTCGTGAGTGGGATTTATTCCCGCGCGGCGATGAAAGCAGGTGGAGAACTATTAGCATATCTGAGTTCGACGGGCGACAAGAACACGAAGGTGGGATGGGAGAAAAACGGCAATTTCCTAGATAGAAGAATTTATGTGGACACCAGGTTGACCCGTTCGTTCTTACGGAGGGTGAGCTACGCAAAGTATCTGAAGCCTAGGCGCGTAAATACACGTGATGGTCGCACTATACCAGCTCGTACGTTAAATCACACAATGTACCCGTTTAAAAATGGACTTCTCCCTTTATTATTATTGTTCATTAAATTCCATCTCGATTACCCAGTCGGCTAAAGCAATTTTGCGATGATATGCGCAGAACGAAAAAGTATGATGTTAACCTCACCGTAAAAACTCGACAAAGCTTGTCGCGATTAACTACATAATGCGACTTTCAACTCGGAGATTTCCTGTCGTGGAAACCTCGATGCTCATTTTGCATAGAATTGAGTGCAGAGAAGAGACATAAAATGAAACACAATGACGTAATTCTATTTTCGAAAAATCTCATTGTGCGAAATTGTTGCTAAGGAAATACCCAAATGCGCAACTAAAATGAAATAACTGGACTGATTTCTAACAGATACGGTTGTCACGGCGAATAAAATAACCAAAACATAAGTATCATCGTGAATTAAACGCTCATTTTCTCCCTTTGTATTTTTAACGTATTACAAGTATAAATAACAGCCGGCTCGTTAATTCCGTTAACTCTATGAATATTACGCGTCGCTTTCAAATTCAACACGACCATTGACAAACAATACCCAAATATTTTCTATAATTGCGATCGCGCAGAACGAGCGCGGTATTTTGTGCCCGTGATGTGAATTGCATTTTCCGCTATTAACTTTTCATTTGACGACAGGCAGTGCGCGGACGGTATTCAATACATCGCGATAGAGAGACAAGCATTGAAAATGCTTGTCTTCCTTTGTGTTTTTATTTCTATAACAACATAATGATATTTGAATGTAACGTAAAATGTCCCGCCCGATTCTCTTGTTGGTAATATCGCGTTTAATGTCATGTTGCCCAGTTCAAATTC